AACACACACACACACACACACACACACACACACACACACACACACACACACATACAATTTAGAAAGTAATTATGAAGCGAATTCCTACATGATACCAAGAGCTGCAGGAAGCCATAGCAGGCATTTGAGCAGGGAATGACATGATGGGACTTAGCAATGTTGGGTGGGGGACCATGGGGAGGCGGCTGCATCTTCTTGGTGAGGCAGGTTAGTGGCTTGGAGAGTGCACTGGTGGGCAAGGAGTAGCAGAGGGGACAGGCTGGTCATTGCTGGTGTGTTAGCCAGGGCCCCAGGGTCAGGTCTGTGGGCCTAGATGGATAAAAGTGCTCATCCAGGAAGATGGCAGGTTGGGCATGGGCTGGGGACAGGTTCTGGTGAGGGCATGCTGAGGCTGGGGTGGAGGGCTGTGTTCAGAGGCCAGGCTGGGGCAGGCGGGGCTCGGGGAGGGCAGCCAGAGCACCTCAGCTTCCCCTCCTCCCTGCTCCTCTCCCTCTTTGCTGCTGGTGCAGCTGATTGCTGCTGCAGAGCCGACTGTGTCTTTAAGAGGGTGGTTACGGGGCCTTTTGTATTTGTCCTTCCTGATGCTGACGTCAGGGATCCGGAGGACCGATGAGAAGATTTGCTTTCCTTTTCCCCAAAAGGGGAGGAGATTGAAACTGAGTGGCCCATGATGGAAAGAGAGGAAATCCAGGGGTGCAAGAGGCCCTTGGGTGAAGGCAGAGACTAACATGGGGTGAGCTTGGGTGCCATACTGTGTGTGTGTGTCAGAGACAGAGAGACAGAGAGAGAGACACACAGACAGAGAGAGCTCGCTGGAGAGATGGTGATGGCCCTGTGGTTGCTTGTCATTGATTGCGCTGAATGTGGTCCCATGGTCTGTCTTGGGTCCTTGTCCTGGGCCCGTGGTGGGCAATGGCTCTTGTTTAGGGAGTACAGCTGCCTGCTTTTGAGCCTGGAATGTAAAGGGCCTGTCCTAAGGTCTGTCCCTGGGCTGTGATTGGCCCTGCCGAGGCTGTGCTCCACCTCTAGGCTGTGAGGTGAAAGCCCCTGGCCCCAGGGTGGGGCAGGGTGGAACCCTCAGTGGAGGTGGGTGCCCTGTAGCCAACAAAGCTCCCTCAAGTTTTGAAGGTGCTTGGTGTAGTTACTAAGCATTTGCCTTTTAGTAGAACACAGCTTGTCCTCTGAGAACATGGAGGTTAGTAAGGGCTCTGTCTGCTTTGGGAAGTCAGTCTGGTGAACTTCCATCCCAGGGTCTGCTCGTGCAAAGCTCAGTCTGAGAGGCCTCCCAGCCCCTCTCTGCACCCCTCTGGCACTTGCTTTCTCGCTTGTGAAGCACCCATGCTTGTCAGAGGTGACGAGCCGGAGACGTACGTGAGCACCAGGCACAGTACTTGGACACAGCAAGCTTGCAGTGAGAGGCAGCTGTCCTGTCACTCTGGGGGCAGCAGCCTGCCCCAGCCACGAGCGGCAGCACGCCTCTCCCTCCTGGCGCCTCCTCCTTCTCTCCCCTCTTCGTCCCTTATGCTTCCTGGGTCATTTCATCTTCAACATCTGCCTCCTACACTGGACTTGTGTTCCCAGAGGCGGGGGGTGGGTCGTCTTGCCCCCCACTGAGTTTGACTCAAGTCACACAGTGCCTGGCTTGAGGCATGTGCTCCATAACCATCTGCTGATTGGTTGGTGGGGGCTGGACAAGATGTGGGGGCGGGCAGGGGCTTGAAGAATTGCCTCCCATGTCCTGAGGGTGGGGCAAGGGTGAGATGCTTTACATAGACTCACACACGACCCCATTTTACACATGAGGAAACTGAGGCTAAAACAACTTCAAACTACACTACTAGGAAGTTGCTCTATCTGTTCTGCGCAGAGTCTCTTCTAGCACGAGGGGTGCCCTTGGGAATGGGTGCAGTGTGGGCTGCCAGTCTGGGGGCAGCGAGAGGCTCTGGGTCATGACTGGCTCTTCTGCAGGTTTGGAGCAACTGTGGCCATTGGCCTGACCATCTTTGTGCTCTCTATTGTCACCATCATCATCTGCTTCACCTGCTCCTGCTGCTGTTTGTACAAGATGTGCCGCCGACCACGTCGTAAGCATGCCCACTCCCACCCTGCTCTACTGCAACGCCCCCCACCCTGGGTGGACAAGGGGAGCTGACCAGGGACCTGTTTTGGTTAAGCTGGAGTGAGGGGTGGCAAGCCTGGCCCTCAACGCCTGAGGAGATGGAGGTTCCTGACTGGGATTCTCTTTGCAGCGGTTGTGACCACCACCACAGCCACTACTGTGGTGCACGCCCCTTACCCTCAGCCTCCAAGTGTGCCACCCAGCTACCCTGGACCGACCTACCAGGGCTACCATCCCATGCCCCCCCAGCCAGGGATGCCAGCAGCACCCTACCCGACACAGTACCCACCACCCTACCTGGCCCAGCCCATGGGCCCACCAGCCTACCACGAGACATTGGCTGGTGAGTACCACTGCTGACTCTGTGACCCTGCCTGACCTCCCCAGCTCCTGCCTCTGCCCTGTCAGGCATCCATCCCAGAGTACATCTCTGGATAGGCCCCTTCTTTATGCTAGCCTGCCACTAACCTGCAGCTCACCGTGCCCATGACCAACCAGTGTCCTCTCTCTTTTCAGGAAGTGCAGCCGCGCCCTACCCTGCTAGCCAGCCTCCGTACAACCCAGCCTATATGGATCCCCCGAAGGCAGCCCCCTGAGCATACCCTTGCCTCCCTAGCTGCCACTTAATTATGTCATATGTGTGTGTGTGTGTGTGGTATGCAGGCACGGTTCTTTACTGTCCCATGCATGGTGTGTGTGTCCTATCTGTACACATGGTTTCCTCTGATGCTGATGAGCTGGGGAACAATCCTTGCCAGAGTGGGCTGGTACCAAACTTTGTTTTCTTCCTTACTTGAAATGATGCTTCCTGAAATCTCAAGCAAAATTCAAAGAATGGGGTGGAAGTTCTTTTTCAGCTCACCCCAGGGCAACCAGGTGTAGCCTGTTTTTGTGGGCACAATGCACATATGTCCTGGTTTCAGCAGAGTGGCCAGCTGTTGCTTGAAGCCATGGCTTATCCCATGGTTTGGGGGGCCCTTCACAGAGCCAGAGCCATGATGCAGGCAACTGGATGAAACTGGGGATTGCTTAAGTTGTCTTTCAGTCCTTTGGACAGACATCTCATTGCTGCCTGGAGCCTGTGCCATGCCTGGTGGGGGTTGGGCAGCCTCCTGATGTCAAAGCACCTCAGGTAGAGCACCACCCACCCCTGACAGCTGTCACCTGGACTGTCCCTGCATCCTCCCACTTGGAGGGCCACATCCACTCACGGTTCTGGCTGCCCATGGGGAAGCTTTCCTGCCCTTGCTGGCCCCAGCCCCTGACACAGGTAGGCAGGGTGGCCTCTGTCCACCAACACACTCAGGTCTCCTTCCTGCAGTGTTTTTATTTTACTTTTAGCCAAACATTTTGCCTGTTTTCTGTTTTAAAATGTGTGTGATAGTTGACTTGAGGTTGAAACCCCTGGGTCCTGGAGGGAAATTGGCCCACATTGGAAAGAGTCTGACCTCTGATAGTCCCTGCTTCTCCTGACACCACCCTCACAGAACATCCAGCTCCTGTACTCCAGTCCACAGTCTGTCCTGGCAGCAGGGACACCTGGGCCAAGGGGCTGTCTGGACCCAAGGTGGCGGTGGAGCCTGGGTGTCAGCTCTGGCCCAGACATGAATACCTCGGTGTTCCTTGTCCTTCTGTTAATTTTTCACCAGATCTGTCTTAGCTCTGTATCTATTGTGTTTCTGAGAGTCTAGGGTCTGCACCCTTGTTTATAATAAATGCAAACATTTGGAGCTGCTGCTTCCTTTCTTCATAGCCTTGGCTGCTGGGATTGGGCATTAGGTATAAGTAGTTCCATCCACCATTTGGGTTTGTGTTTTCCCTACTTTTATTGGGCCCAGATGTCTGACCGTCCTGGCAAGGGAGAGTGAGAGACAAAGACTGAGCCACCCTCTGTAACCCCCTCCCCTGGTTCCTCAGTGTGGGCAGAGGCCCAGCTGTGAAGGAGGGTAGGAGACGAGTGACCGACCACTCAGTGCTACAGGGGTCTTTATTAGTCAGATTTTCCTTCTTGGCCTACTGCCCAGGTGTGGCCAGGGACAGTCCATACAGTGTGGCTACTGCCAAGGTCAGGAAGGCCAGCAGGCCTAAGGGAGCCAGCAGTCCCTCCCTGGGTGGGGCTACAGGGCCCTTCACTGGAGGAAGAGCCTTGGGTCTTCTGGTTCCACCAAGGCTGGGACTAGTGTTTCTGGCTGTGGCCAGGGGTACAGTGGCTGTGACAACGGATGGCCTTGAGTTGATCCCAGCAGAGGCTGTGATCCCATACATGGGCTTGATGGTGCTGAAGGGCCTGGCATGAGTATCCACCCACCGCAGCAGGGCCTGTGGCCTCCACTGACAGATGCTGAGCAGGGCTAGGACGTCACCCTCAGCGGTGTGTGAGTCTGGCGGGGCCTGCCCATACAGGCGTGTGTAGATGCTGCTCAGACTGTAGCTCTTCCTTGGGCCATGCTCTGAGGGGCTAGTAGCTCGTTCCAGGGCCTTCAGTCACCCTCAGCGGTGTGTGAGTCTGGCGGGGCCTGCCCATACAGGCGTGTGTAGATGCTGCCCAGACTGTAGCTCTTCCTTGGGCCATGCTCTGAGGGGCTAGTAGCTCGTTCCAGGGCCTTCAAGGCTGCAATGCTGTCCACACAGAAGGCACTATCCAGAGCACTGGCAAGGTCCAGCATAGCCAGCTCTGCCCGGAGCAGGGGGAAGTCAAAGCGGTCCCCATTGTGTGCCACAAGGCACCAGGGCTGTGGCTGGCGCTGTAGGAAGCCTAGGAGCAGGTTGGCCAGGTTGTCATTGAAACATTGACGCCCATGTGCTGCCAGCTCAGCTGTGCTCAGACCCGTGATCTCACTGGCTGCCGGGCTACAAGCCTTCCCCGGAGCCACGCACAGGGAGAGCTTGTCCACCACTCGGGGTGGTGGGGGCACTGTGGGAGGTTGCCCCTGAGAGGTCGGTGGGCTCTCCAGAGCACATCTGGGGACGGCCAGTAGGCACAGCTCCGTGACCTTGGGCTTAGAGAAGGGCAGGCCAGTGGCCTCCAGGTCCAAGAAGATGAGGGTCTGCATGGGACCTGAGGGCGGGGCCTTCGAGCCCATGGTGGGTAGGTAACTGCTGCTGACCCTGAGGAGGAGCATGGGTGGGAGGTGGAGTGTGTGAGTGCCCAGTGGAAAGAGCTAAAGCAGGTGGGGTTGGGCGGGGTGTGGGCAGAAGCATATCTCAGGCCTCCCCTGCACAATCAGGCCCTCTGAGTTCCAGGGCCCATTTTCAGGGCAGGAAGTTGGAAAGAGTGGGGTGGTTTCTTAGTGGGACAAGCACACTCTATTGTCTGGTTGGGGGAGAATTCCCTCTTCATACGAGTTTGGCCCCTTCTCTAGTGCCCACCTAGTCTGGGATGGGAGAAGCCTTCCTCCCTGCCCCACCCCCTTGGGGGTCCACACTTACCGTGGCAGGCAGCAATGACTTGTGCACTCTCCAGGCTGGTTCTCACTGCTGGCAGCAGTGGCGGGAAGTGAAACTTGAAACTCAGGCTGGGCCCGCCCACAGGCCTGTGTGAGCAAGGCCCGCCCTGCTCTACAGCCTGCTTGGTCTGTCCCGCTTGCCAACACCCAACCCTTTCCAGGCACCCCAAAGGCCTTCTTGGATCCACAGCTGTGGGCCTACTGGCTGGCATAGTGCACCGGGGTGCTCACACCAGTGAAAGCCAGCAGGGAGGACTGGGGCAGTGGTGATCAGGCTGTCTCTGTGTCTCCAGCACTGCCGGAAGCCCCTACCATAACCCTTCTGTGCCCAGCTGTTGCCCCCACATTCCCAGGCCTTCCTGGTTTAGGCCTGGGATGAGGGTGCCTCCTTCCCGACTGCACAATGGTTTCTTCTCATGGCCCCAGCCCAAAGCAGTGACTCAGGACAATTCCACAGGCAGGGTAGGGCTCTTTCCTCAAGGCAGATTAGTTACCATGGGGACTGGGCCTCAGTTCCAGCCAGGGACAGGAAGAAGGATCCCAGCCTCCCTAGAGCCCTGTCCTGCTCTAGCCCTCCCATTCAGCCAAACAGACAAGACTCAGGAAACACAAGGCTGGTATGTTCTCTGCAGGAAGTCGCTGCTTTTTAATCAGTTAATGAGATGAGGAAAGTAGTGGTGCTGGTGCCACCATGTGGCTCGATGCTCACGGGCCTCAGCCACAGTCCATCTCAGGGTCCTCCACATCCGTCTCCGTGCCACAGAGGTCATCCAGGGCTGCCTCTGAGCCAAAAAGAAGAGGGTTCTATGGTGAAAGCCCGAAGATGTTGGGGACTGGGGGAGGTCCCACCTCTCCTCCCCCAACGCCCACAGGAACGAACCAGTCCCTTCCACACCCAGGCCTTGCTCCCTCAGCTACTGCAAGCAAAGTGATACAAAGGCAATTCAGACACAGATATTTCTGGAAAAACCGTGGCTCTGCCAGGCCAACTCAACAGATATGAGCAAAAGGCAGCCTGATTTGCTCAGAGAGGAACTGGCGCAGGAAGACAATGAAAATGTCCCCACTCCGGAAAAGGCTAGAAAAACCGTGGCTCTGCCAGGCCAACTCAACAGATATGAGCAAAAGGCAGCCTAATTTGCTCAGAGAGGAACTGGCGCAGGAAGACAATGAAAATGTCCCCACTCCGGAAAAGGCTGTCGTGGATGGAGGAGGGCTGCTGAAGTAAAGCCAAGGAGTCTTGTTCTGGAAAGCCAGGGAGAATCCACATGTGGGCTGGGGCAGGGAGGGGTCCTCTTGCTGGCTCACCTTCACAGTCTGTCACGTCAGGAAGCCCTCGAATCAGCATGCTGACCCCTGGCATCACCTGGTCATACTGATGCAGGACCTCCACACAGTGCATGGTAAAGAGCTTGTCCTTCTGGGACAGGCTGTGCAGCAGTAGCACTGTGTCCCGCAGACACTGCACTGTCCGCCTCTGCTGGCCAGTCCTTGGGGCCCCCCCTGCTCTCCGCACTGTGAGCCACTGTCTGTGCAGCATCACCGTGAGAGCTCGGACCACCTTCGGGGAGAGAGGGTGCATACAGGTCAGGGCTCACGGCCTGCTCAGTCTAGCCACCCCCAGTGAGGAGGGTCCTGATTGGGGCATGGGGTCCTTGCACAGGACCACCTTACCCACCAACAGAGCTGCCATGCTGTGGCCCCTGCCTTCCCTGGCCACTTACCTCCACGTTGCACTGGCAGTTGGAGCCAGTGACTGGGGGTGAGGGGCTCTGTACACCAAGCTTAGCCAGGAGCCACACCGTCTAGAACAAGAACAGATTCTGTCCCATCCCTGGCAGGAGACCCCAGTTACAGCAAGGGCTTTCTTGGGCTTCCCCTACAAGAGCTCCAGTTACTTTAGCAACTGCTAGTCTGCACAAATGGTGTCCAAAAAGCGGTGTTGTGGGGACTTCCCAGGCCAGACTCAGGACCGACATGTCTCACCAGCAACCCACCTGCCTCCAGGCCCACTTCCAGCCACCAGGCCCCCAAACCAGGATAGGACCAGTTATGGGACAACTCTATCAAGTCCGCTGACAACTGGGGTCCACCTGTATTGCATATGTGTAGTGTGGGGTCTCCAAAATGAGTTTATTGCTTTAGCTGCTTGATAAACTCTTGTTATCAAAATGAGCTAAAGCCTCCTTTCTCCCCAGAGAAAGGAGGAGAGGAAGGAGATTCTGTGGGCTCTTTGGATGGGGTGGGGTGTAAGCATCTCCAGAAAGGTCTCTGGAGTTTTTACCTCTTGTTCCAGCTGAAGCCATTGTGTCTCCGAGGCCACTTTGTCAGGCCTTGACGTGATGTACATGTACAGCAGCAGGAAGAGGCAGCCTTCTGAAAAGGACGCCCCATCTCTCACTCAACATCCCCGTTCTCACCCAAGCCTGGGGTATGAGCTGCAGGAGCCCTCAGGAAGCCCCCCGACCCTGTCCTTGCCACAGCCCTTCCCTCCAATCTGTAGGAGCAGTCCAGCTGCCTGCCCTGCCCCGTTTTACCTGAGGGGGAGCAGAGATGAGGCGTGAGCTTGTCATGGTCCACCAGAAGGGATAGGAGCTCAACCACCAGCAGTACACTAGGCACCGGAGTCTCTGGGCTGAGGCACTGGGGCAGCACCCGGAACACACACTGGAACCTAAAAGACAGGGGCCCAGAGAGACGTGGAACTCCCCAACCCCAATTCCCAAACCCACCCTCACTTTTCACTATAGGTTACAGGAAATTGGAGCAGGGTAGTTCAAAGAGGAGACTTGGTTCAGCCAGACCTGGGTTCCAATGCTGGCCCAACCACTAACTACTTGTTGCTGTGAAACTTGTTTCATGTGAACAGTGGGTTATAACCTTCACTGCAAGACTGTGGTGGCTTAAAGATGACAGGCCCTCCTCTGGCACAGTGTCACCATATCAATGAGTCGATCCCTGGACCCGGGGTGCCTGGCCTCCACACACTCCCAGGCTCTTTCTACCTCTGCTCCCAAACAAGGATGCAGGTCGTAACTTGGGCGTGAGAGAAATGTTCTGTGTCCACCACCAAAGGACGGTCCAGGGCTCTAGAAGTGACAAACATGGACTTGGCTATGGTTCGATCATGAGACCACTCACAGAGCAAGAAAGATCATTATCTTCATTTGTCAGGAAACACTGGTCTCCTCTGCTACCAGTATGAGAAAATGCCCACTGTGGGGTGCACATGGGTGAGGGGCTCTGGGCACAATCTCTCCCAGGTCTCAGGGCCAAAGGGATGGCTATTACCAAGGAACCAAGCCTCAAGGCAATCCTGCTGTTTGCTCAATCCACATAGCCTGGAGCATAAGATGGCTATTACCAAGGAACCAAGCCTCAAGGCAATCCTGCTGTTTGCTCAATCCACATAGCCTGGAGCATAAGGGAGGGCTGGTCTGGTGGGTAGGGAGAGTGGCAATTCCAAAACGCTCTGTGGGTCCAGCTGTGCGTGCACTCCTTCATAAATCTGTGGTGTCTTAGCATAGAGTACACCCTACAGGATGTCATCAGCGAGCATAAGGGAGGGCTGGCCTGGTGGGTAGGGAGAGTGGCAATTCCAAAACGCTCTGTGGGTCCAGCTGTGCATGCACTCCTTCATAAATCTGTGGTGTCTTAGCATAGAGTACACCCTACAGGATGTCATCAGCAAGCAAGGTCTCACTGGGACAAACTCATTTTAGAGCAAATCCAGTGCAGCAGACAAGAAGCTGAATGTTTTTTAGCTGCCAGGAAGTGTGGAACTTTGTGGAAAACTGAATTTAATCTGGTTGTTACCTGGTTTTATTACTGGGCTGCAAGTGGCCCCTAACTAGTCCTGGAAAGTATCTGCAAGAAGAATCCGTCTTTATATACAACACAGTGGTTTCCAAGCAATTTTTTTTTAAAAAAAAGATGACCGGTAAGGGGATCTTAACCCTTGACTTGGTGTTGTCAGCACCACGCTCACCCAGTGAGCAAACCGGCCATCCCTATATGGGATCCGAACCCGTGGCCTTGGTGTTATCAGCACCACAGTCTCCCGAGTGAGCCACAGGCCGGCCCCCCAAGCAATTTTTTTGATAGCATTAGAACCTTCTTTTTAAATGATTTTCTATGCAGAGATCCAATACACAAAATATGTAACAGTCATGCTGCTCTGGTTAAAGTTGAGGATGAGACCTATCTGCTGAAAAGCTCCTGCCAATCCTGGATCCCTAGGGCTGCAATAGATGCAGTAGGGACACAAGGATGATTTCCTTTCTGCAGTCTTCTGGGCAACTTGGGTTCACAGATTGCTTTATAGCCCTGACAGCACCCCTGCCAAGTTTCACTCCAAGGTGAACAGGAAGCTGTGTCGTAGTGGGGTTCAGCTTAAGCATGTAAGCATGAAGGAATTCTGAAGAGATAAGCACTGAGTGTGATGTGTCGGACAGCAATAGGGGCAATGGCTCAGTGGAAACTAATTGCCTTGAAACCTACCTCGGCGTGCTCCCTATGGGACTTCACACAAGTTTCCCTGCCTCAACACAGGATTTATTCACTCAACAAATATAGACTGGGCACTTACAGTGTGCTAGAGTCTGTGTTCGGTGTGAGGATGCAGGGCCATGAATGTGTCACGCGAGCTAGTGAATGGAAGGCATCTGTCTGGCTTGTAGGAAGCATCCTTAAAAGGCTGTTTTGTGGGCTGAGCCTGTGGCGCACTCGGGAGAGTGCAGTGCTGGGAGCGCAGCAGCACTCCCACTGCGAGTTCGGATCCTATATAGGGATGATCGGTGTGCTCACAGTGCTCACTGGCTGAGCGCGGTGCGGCTGGGGTCCAAAAAGAGAAAAAAAAAAAAAAAAAGGCTGTTTTGAATGTCCCTAGAAATAAGCTCAACAGGAATGGAACGATGGTGTCTCTACCAAGAAGACGGGTAAACATATGGTTTCGTGTGCTCACAGTGCTCACTGGCTGAGCGCGGTGCGGCTGGGGTCCAAAAAGAGAAAAAAAAAAAAAAAAAAAGGCTGTTTTGAATGTCCCTATAAATAAGCGCAACAGGAATGGAATGATGGTGTCTCTACCAAGAAGACTGGTAAACATATGGTTTCTGGGATTCATTCATTTAACAACTATGAAACAAGCAACAGCCACTATGAGCTGGGGTCCCTGCCAGACACCTGCGTGATGGTTCTGCCCCCCACCCTATTGCCCATACTACACTGCAGTAGTGTCCAGCTCTAAGCACCACCTTTAGAACCAGACCAACTAGAAAATATTCAGATGGAAGCCATGATCCAGAAATGTTTTTAGGAAACAGCAATGCTAAGTTCAGAGATGAGAAGACTTAAGATATATCTAGGCGGTGGAGCTGTTCCAACATAGGAACTGGCCTCTTGGAAGAGTGCTGAGAGGGAGACTGGATTACTAGATGAGGAAGTGGGCTGGACGGTGTTTACAGTTCCACCCTATCTTGTGGCTCTGGAATCCCAAGTTAGGAATTTATAACGGTGTTCATTAGCTAGGTTCACTATACTACCACTTCCAACAAACTTTAAGAGGAGCAAGCAACCTGTGACTTATGCTACAGGTGGGCACAATGACAGGCAGAGACTCCTAGCAATGTCAGCTTTTGGGCTGCAGACCCTCCCCACATCCTCTGCTTCCTTAGGGAACCCCAACAAAATTAAATGTGGCTGTGGTATGTGGTCTTCACATGATCCACCTCTCAGGCTCAAAGGCCTCTTGGTTCAGCCTTTATCATGGGGCAAGACCTTCTTCCACAGTGGCTAACAACCTCCTTTTATCATATATGTTTTTTGTTTACCTGCTGTTCAGAGACAGAATCAAACCAAAGAAACCACTTCCTTGGTTCTCCCGACACCTGGTTCCACTTCCTGTCACTTAAGCCCCGAACAAGTCTTAGAACTTGAACCAAGCCTTACAACTGAATAGTATAGGCAAAGTCAAGATGTGAGCAAAGTACAAGGGCCACAGTTTAGACTGTAAGAGGTCAGATAAGAACTACCAAGGATCATGACTCCCATGCTGCTTTATACCTGGGCAAAAAATCAGAGGAAGCGTTTTCTGCTAATTTCACCAAAACCTTAAGGCACTGACTCAGGACACTGGCCTGAAGGCGACCTGTTGCTGCAGAAGAGAAAGCCAAAAGGTGAAGAAGCATCTTCAATAATGGATGCTGTCCTTGGTCATCAGCAACCCCCTTCAGGGCTGGGGTCATTTCTACACAACTATGTCTGTGAACCAGGCTCCCATTTCCTTCTCCAGCAGCAGAATCCGACCCTGCTCCTGACAGTAAAAGGCAGACAACTGCTCCACTGTGGCACACCAGGTGCTGAAGAATGCTAAGTGAAGCCACACAGAAGCCTTCCAGGTTGCAGATTAAGTCCTCAGGGCTAGCCTCTACTCCAGAGCTCATGCAGGAGGAGTGTGTAGGTGAGTCCCCAGGAGCTCCGTTTCTCTTAGCTGCTGCCAAATCCTGCAGAGCCTGGCAGTGTAAGCTGATGAAGAACTGTATGAGGGGAAGGAGATGCACAGCTCCAGGAAGCTGGCAGAGCGGGAAGGCCCTTCTGCCTCCCTCTGCTGGCTTTCCATCACATGAGCCTTCATTCCTGGCAACCAGATTCAGTCCAGTGAATGCCAAATTCTGAGCTTCTCTCAGGGCTGAGAGGGAAAATGACCCATCACTAGAACTTGTGGTCCTGAGGCCTGAAATCCCAGCCAAAGTACTGGCAACAAACAAAAGAAAATAGATAAGTGTGAGATAGAGATAAGGTCAAGGTCCCCAAACAGACTGCCTGCCAAATTCTCTAGTCCCCTTACCCACCCCGCAGACCTCCCAGGGTGGCCAGGGTTAGATAGGGACTTGCTTTCTGGAAACTCCTTCCCATTCAAGCTTTTCAGGAGTCTTATGTTTACCTGCCAAACCCTGGTGGCTGCAAGAGGGTGCCAGCAGGAGCCTCAGAACAACTGTTCAGGAGATGGCAAAGGCCTAGGGATGATCCTGGAATCAAAGGCTGCTTCAGGAGTAGGTTTATCAAAATGGAACCTGCAGAAGACAAGGACACTCTAGAAGGTTCTGACATACGAGATCTTTTCTATGGCCTCAGAAGGCAAAAGTGAGGGTTGCTTGGATGTCAAATGTCCTCTAATCTGCCAGTAAGCCCATTAAGATGCCTGTGGGTGAGGAAGGCTCTGGGACACACCTGCTCTTGGCCCTTTCCATTTTATAAAGTCTTTTGCTTAAGTCACAGACTCCTACTTGTTACACTCACTGTGTAATGGAGATGAAAAAAGGATTACTCAAAGCACCATGAATGTGTTGAGAAACCCAAAGGGTCTGTATCCCAGAGAAAACTGGGTACAGCAAGCATTCAAAGTTAGCTTTTGTTTTTTATTGTAACGACAAGGAAATTTCACAAGAAAATTCAGTTGATTCAGTCATTACAAAAGGACACAAGGACATGGGCAGTGCTACAAAAGTTATCTATGGCTAAGTATAGCTTAAGCAATGGAAACTAGTAACATCAGTAAAATTAACAATGTGATATTCCAAAGTACAATTAGTGAAAAGCTAAGTTGGTCAAACTGGCTCATTATTTTCTTTTTCTTTTTATTGTTTTTTCTTATTTTTTTTGGCTCATTATCTAAAGTATAACCTCTCCTTAAGCAAAAGTTACATTCTTATGATAAAATCTAAGTACAATTATTTCTAACGTTTCCCCCAACAAGACAGCTTGCCCCTAGCAAACATTTTTTCACATCTTTCTCTTCAGCAATTCTTAAAATCTCTTAACAGGATCGGTATGAAAACCACCTGTTAGCTCTAAAATTATTAAAGTATACAATCCTGTACCTAAGCAGTGATTAGAGTTGATTAGATGGGCTGTGGCCCGGCTATCTGTGGGCTGTGGCCCCCTATGCAAGGGCTTTTGCCCCAATATGTATTTACCTAAAAACTCTATTCTAAAAATCAAATGGGAATCAACATTACTTAATTAGAATTGATTAAATGGGCTTTTGCCCTGTATTTGTAGACTTTGGTCTCCTATCTGAGGGCTTTTGCCCTATATATGCATTTACCTAAAAGCCCTATTCTAAAATCAAATGAGAATCAAGATTTCTAACCCTCCACACTTACTTCCCTGGACTCTCTGAAAGATTGCCCGGGCCACTGGTTCTTAGAGCCCCAGACAATTCCCCAGGCAATTCTGTGCATTGAAGAGGACAATTGGAGCCATACAGGCCCCTGTAGGAGAAGTAGGAATTCTGGTACCTTGAGTGTTTGATCTCTGCATCAGGCTGTCAACAAGACTTCTCTGGGTCTCTTCTTGTTTTATGGGGTTACCTCTCAGACTATGGCCCTTATTATCTGAAACTAGATAAAAATGTGAATCAAAACTTTAGCATAAAAGTACAGGCATATCAGAAACTCTTGCATGTACTGAGAAGTTGAGGAACTTGCCCAAATCACATATGCTAGTAAGTAGTGTGATTAGGGCTTACATCCAGGCTGTTGAGCTCGACTACCTGCTTGTAGCAGTACCCTTCAGTGCTCACTTAGTTGCTAAATGCCAAAAATATGAGTGGGCTGCAGCTTCTCAGAAGTGGTGTGATGGCCAATGATTTGAAAAGGTTGATGGTGAGAAGTGAGTCAATTATCTGAATTATTAGATAAAGCAGCATATCAGTCTCAGAGTGAAAACCCACTAATGCTACATCTTCTTTCTCTAGAAAGCAGCAGCATTCCCTCAGTTTGGATTGAACTATACAAACTCAAGGCTGGACTATAAAAGGAACACTGGTCCCTGAATACTAGCTATGCTTATGGCAGGGTCAATGGATGCTGACTGTGATAGTTTAAAATATACATGCAAATTCTTTGACACATCTCCCTTCAAAAGGTGTAGCCTAGTTTCCTTCCCCTTGAACAAGGCCCAGACTCAGTGACTTGCTTCTAACAAACAGAAATGATGTTATGTGTCTTCTGAGGTGAGGCCATAAGAAGAATAGCTTCTGACTGGATCTCTCTCTGGGTTTGCTAGCTCTAGAGGAAGCCATCTACCATGTCATCAGGACACCCAGTAGCTCTGTGGAGTGGCCTACGTGGAAAGGAATTATGTTGCCAGCATGTGAGTGAGCCACCTTGCAATAGATCCTTCAGCATCAGACAAGCTTTCAGTGATTCCAGTCTCCACAGAGATAAGCCATCCCCACTGTGCCCCGTCTGAACTGCTTACCCACAGAAATCAGGAGAAAACAAATGTTTTAAGCCATAAGTTTGGGTAGTCTGTTACACAGTGATAGATAACTAATAGACTGACTTACCCTTAATGCCCACCAGAGACTTGTATTCTGGCTCTGTCTGGCAGGGGTGGGGAAGGAACATGTTAGCACTAAAAGACTCCTTTGTAGGGAAAGATGTTTTTCCAAATTGTGGAGAACACGCTTCTGGCTTTATAACCACAGAAGGGTTTTTCCTAGGACTGGAAAAAGTTAACTATGAAAGCAGAGTAATGATTCTGCTAAAACACTTTAAATATCTGGTTATAAAACTTCTAACAAACTTTAAACTTTTCACATCTAGGTGTATTGACCAAAGGTTTTATCTATTATATATCTGTCATCTTCTTTTTTTTTTTTTTAAAAAAAGATGACCCGGGCCGGCCCGTGGCTCACTCGGGAGAGTGCGGTGCTGATAACACCAAGGCCCCGGGTTCGGATCCCATATAGGGATGGCCGGTTCGCTCACTGGCTGAGCGTGGTGCTGACAACACCAAGTCAAGGGGGTAAAAGCCCCTACCCCCCCTCTTTTTTTTTTTTTTAAAAAAAAAAAAAAGAGGGGGGGTAGGGGCTTTTACCCCCTTGACTTGGTGTTGTCAGCACCACGCTCAGCCAGTGAGCGAACCGGCCATCCCTATATGGGATCCGAACCCGGGGCCTTGGTGTTATCAGCACCGCACTCTCCCGAGTGAGCCACGGGCCGGCCCGGGTCATCTTTTTTTTAAAAAAAAAAAAAAGAGGGGGGGTAGGGGCTTTTACCCCCTTGACTTGGTGTTGTCAGCACCACGCTCAGCCAGTGAGCGAACCGGCCATCCCTATATGGGATCCGAACCCGGGGCCTTGGTGTTATCAGCACCGCACTCTCCCGAGTGAGCCACAGGCTGGCCCTTTTTTTTTTTTTAAAGATGACTGGTACAGGGATCTTAACCCTTGACTTGGTGTTGTCAGCACCACGCTCTCCCAAGTGAGCTAACCGGCCATCCCTATATGGGATCCGAACCCGGGGCCTTGGTGTTATCAGCCCCGCCCTCTCCCGAGTGAGCCACAGGCTGGCCCTTTTTTTTTTTTTAAAGATGACTGGTACAGGGATCTTAACC